GAGGATGAGCCCCATAAGCATTATTCTGCTAAAATATTACCCAGAATAGACTTAATGATGTAAACCTGTTGAGATGGTAATACTCGGCTAATCCTCTAACAATAGATCGGTATGCTGTGTAATGCTGACAACATTTGAGACAAAATGGGATTAAATACGTAATTGACGAAATAGCTGCCTGTACAGAATATTGGGCCTCAGTAGTTTCTTCTAAGGGAAATGGCCTACTCAAATGGCGAAATATAAACCTAGATTTCCAATGTTCTAGCAGTTCTGAAATTAACTTTATTATGATTTTAACATTTTCATGAACTCAATTTTCCTATGAGGGCTTATGGAAAGGGAGAGTTTATTTGCGGAGGTGAGAGCTTATTTGAGCGGGGGGGGGGGGGGGGAAGCTTACTCAAAGGTGTTGGTTTAATCAAGGACTTACGGTAACGTCTAAATACTGGAAAGAAAAATAATAAAAAAACAACAACTTTGTTTTGAAATCTTGGTAAGGGCACAGAAGGTAAACATAAAGACTGCTCTCTTTCTTGGAGCTGCAGTGTGGAATAAACTTTTTAAAAATATCACTTAAAAAAAAAAAAAAAAAAAAAAAAATATGTCCGCCACTGTGTGCGATATTAATGTCACAACTTTTTGACTTATTCATATAAGTTGTTTTGTCTGTCGCTTGGCGGATGAGAACAAAATTCGTGCCAATACTCTGTTATGGTTTTTACTTCTGTTATGAAGAATATTCTCTTCAACCATTATATGTTCATGAATACAGATCCTTCTCATGAAGGTTTGTAAGGGTAGCACCAGGTCTCACGTTGCACAATTGCAATGCAAAGGAAGGGTTTTTAGTAGTTTAGTAAACAGCATGAGGCAGGTTCATGAGAGGGTGAAGAAATGTTAGGGAAAAAATCCGTTTGTTTTATGTTTCCTAAACGACCCTGAACGGCGCAGTCTGAGCTTGTTTAGAGATACAAGGCTCTTTGCTTATTTTTTTTCTCTCTCTCTCTACCAAAGCTGCCTCTCCTAGTTTTGGATTTCAGGGGAATTTCATACCTGTTGCTAGCGGGAGGCTGAAGCTGCAATTTATGCGGGGTCGTTAGTATCACACAGATGTCGAGATGTTAACTGACTCAGCACGCTCGGTCGGTTGGCGCAGCGAACGAGGTGATCTTGCTTAGTCAAGGAAAATTATGGCTGAAAGGGTTTTGCGAAAAAAGTGTATAGATGGATATTTATCTGTGTGTGCATATGTATGTATGTATATATATATGTATGTATGAATGTATGTATGCATGTATGTCTGTATGCATATACATACACATGTATGTATACACACACACACACACACACACACACACACACACACACACACACACACACACACACACACACACACACACACACACGAATTAAGAAAAAAATCGAAATGATTAGAGAAACGAAGAAAGTTTAAAACCGTTTAAGCTTATATCTATTTTCTTTAACCTATCATTATGAACTCTCACCGATACGTGAATAGAGCTGACGCCAGGGATTTTAATGCTTTTAGGCTACATTCACCCCGCTACAAAATACAAGATGAATTACATAATTAGGTGACAGAAACATTTTCAGTTGACATTTTTGGCAGGTTGAACCGAAGTCTTAGGACCTGTTAATCTGTTATTCAGAATTTATTTTAGGCGACCACGATTTTACCCTTTGGATATCAACTCCCAAACAAGGTTCCGTAAACCACCATCAGGATCACGAAAGGAAGAAAGAAAAAAAGAAAAAGAAAAGAAAACAAGACGGAACACTTTTTTTTTTTTCTTGATAAAAGTATCAGACTCTGAATCCCTTAAGATATTTCAACCGTGCCAGTGTCATACGCGTGACAGGCCAAAGTGGAAATAAACATTCCGACTTTGTCCCAGGCACCCTTGAGTAAGTTTAGCGCCGAGCAAAAGTTACCGTTGCGTTTCAGAACCCCCCCCCCCCTCCAATTAACACTAATTGCGTACGGCTGTCAGAGGTTGAAATCTTTGAAAGTATTTGAGAAGCAGATATGTTGGTTCAGAAGATAGCGAAAACAGATCATTGGTCTCTGAAGCAAGTACGAGTAAATGTTTAATGTTTGAAATAAATAAATGTGCTAGAGATCAAAGTATAAGTAAAGCAGAAAGAGGGATTTGTGATATTGAAAAAAAACTCTTTATAAGATAATTGCACAGTTAGTGGTTTTATGCAGGTGCTGTTCACTTAGTTAAAAGGACAGTATTTCGAATAGATTTTCTTTCCTATGATCTTATGTATACAGATACATTGATAGATAGATGGGGGAGTTCTGTGCACAGGTTTCTCCGAGGTATATAAAACTGTTTAAGGGGTTCCTCTAACGAGTGATGTAGCATAAATATAGTAAATATAACATATATGCAATATGCTATGTATGTTTCAGGCAAAGACCAATATTTTTAATGAGTCAGTATATGTTACGTGTGTGAATATATCTCTC